TCTCTGACCACCCTCCTGCCGGCCGCTCCTTGCGCACTCTGAGACCGGCGCCACCCAGCAGGGCCTTCCTGTCCCCGAAGCGCAGCCCCCTCACCTCCCTGGCACCCACCTCCCCGCCCAGGGCTCCTCCGGGGCAGCCGTGCACGCTCGGCCTGGGCGAGTGCCCAGAGGACAGCTCACCTCTAGGGAGCCTCTCTCTGGCCCCACAGCCTGGACACGGGGCTGCCGTGCGGAGTCGCTCCTGGGGCTTGGGAGGGAGGAGGGGTGAGGGGTTGGCCGTGAGGGGCCCGGCTCAACCTGGGGGCCGCGGAGCAGGGACGGGCCTTGGGCTGTGTGGGCCTCCTCCTGGAGGCCCACCAGTCGGGTCCCCGGGGAAGAGGTCCGCCAGGCTGGTCCCCCGGGAAGGGGTCTGCCCGGCTGGTCCCCTGGGATGAGATACACCAGGAGGCTGGTCTCCCAGGACGAGGCCCTCCAGGCTGGCCCCCGGAGCAGGCAGTCCCAGAACAGCGCCAGCATGTCCCTGTCCTCTGCACACAGCTGAGGCCTGGCCGCCTCCCCAGTGCCGCCCGCCTGACGAGGAGCGAGAGACGGAGGCCAGCAGGGCCCCGGGGGCTGCACACCCCACTCCGCTGGCCCAGCCAGCCCCGCGCTTCCTGTCAAAGGCGAGGTTGGCAAGGGGTCCCCACGACGGGGCCACAGGCGGGCCGGTGGGGCCCACGAGGACAGCTGGGCGAGAGGGAGGGGACAGCTCCTGACCTGGGGGTCCTCGAGACGGGGGTGGCGAGGGGCCAGGCCTGGGCTCCCTGGCCACACCGAGGGCCTCCTGCGCCGGGCCCGCCCTGCTCGCAGCCTCAGCGCGGGACTCGAGAGGCAGCACGCCTTCCCCCATTCCGTAGCCGCCCCCAGCGCCTCTGTGAGCCCGGCGCTGCCTACGGTCCTGGGGGCTCCCAGGAGGACACAGACCAAGGCCGGCCTCCAGGGCTGGACAGTCACGGGACACAGTCCGCGATGGTCCAGGCTGGGGGACGGCGGCCACATGTGCTGAACACGGACGTCCACGGGCGACAGAGCCGAGTCGGGCAGGGAAATATGCGGGGCCGGGCCGGGGGCCCAGCGGCTGGGGTGCGGGAGGGGCAGGCACCCCGGGGGGCTTGCTTCCAGCAGGGTGTCAGCCACAGCAGGGTCCCAAGCTGGGGTGGGGCTGATCTGACCAGGGTCTCAGGGCAGAGGCCGCAGCTTGGAGGGGTTTCTGGGGGGGAGTGGGCTGCATCCTGGATGCCCCGGGCAGGTGGAGGGTCAGTGGTGCCTCGGGCAGCTGTCCCCAGCAGCAGGCTTTCTTTTCCTGCCTCTGGCCCTTTGGCCCTGGATCAGGCCCGGAGGGTGAGGATGACTTGCTCAGGCCTCTCTGCGGAGCCCTGGGGCAGTGGGGGGGTGGGGTGGTCCGTGTGGTCAGTGTGGCTGGAGCCTGCGGGGCGGCCTGCCTGGGACCTCCCCCCCGCACCTCCCTGGAGGTTCCCGCAAAGCCCAGACCCCGCGCCCCACACCGTCCCACCTCACTCGCCTGGGTTCTCTGACACCTGTCTGTCTGGGGGAGGGAGGCCCCCGTGACCACCTGGCATTCACAGCAGACCTGGCAGGCTGCCCATCCTGGCCGAGGACACCCCCGCTCTCTCTGGACCCCCGGCAGCACGCCCACCCCAGGCCACAGCGGGGGAGCTCCTCTTCCCAGGAGGACGGAAGGAGGTGTCCGCTCTGCGCCGCCTGCGGGCCCCGCGCCAGCCTCTCTTCAGCCCCTGAGCTCTTGCCAGCCGGGGGCCGGGCCGCCAGCGCTTTGTGCCTGCTGGGCACCCCCACCTCCTGGGACTACCCCTCCTGGGCTCAGGTTCCCTGGCGCCCTGCCCGACATCCTCCCCGCTGGGGGCCCAAGACGAGGCCCCCGGCATGGCCTGAAGAGAGGAAGGGCTGAGCTCGGCCCCAGAGGACCAGCACCCCGCCTGGTGACCCTGTCCGGCTGGACGTGGACGTTGACAGGCGCCGCCTGGCCCACCCTGACCTCTGAGGCTCCTCAGGGCAGCAGGGGGCCAGGGCGGGGGCCCCAGATCCGAGGAGGGGATGGTCTCAGGGCCTCACAGCTCCTCAGGGTGGGGACCAGGCGTGCCTCCTTTGCCCTCCCCTCCGCAGGGATTTGTGAGGACACTGTGCCCCCTCTGGGGTCCTGGGCATGAGGCCAGCGGCCCATCTGCACGGACACCTGGATTCCTCGGCTGTGTGAGGACAACCCGAGGGCTGGCTCAGGATGGGCGCCGGGCAAAGAGCACCTGCATGGCTGATGGTCCAGGGGTGATGGACTCGGGGAGGCGCACCCAGGGGAGAGTGCAGAGCAGGAGCAGGGCAGCTGGTGGGCAGGCGGCGGGGCAGGCCCGCTGGGCGCCTCCAGGCAGCGAGGGGGTGGGGACAGGATGGGCGGGCGGGGGCGAGGTCAGCTGGCCGGTGGACAGAGGAGGAGCTGGCCTTCGATCCCTGATCCCGGGGGCGGGGGCAGCCCCCAGGCTCTGGGCGGGGGCGTGACATGATCCGATTAAGATGCCGCTCTCTGACTGTGGTGGGGAGGGGTGAGGAGACGGGGCCCTGCGGTCAGTGGGTTAGTCGAGGGGCCTGAGGCCCATGCCCGCTCGGGGCCGGGAGGGTGTGCGCAGGGCCCATGCTGGCAGCTGACGGTGGCGCTGGGAGGGGGCTGGGACAGAGGAGGGGTCCCGAGCGGAGGGCGCTGACGGCTCAATCCCGCCCGTCACCGCTCAATGGCCCCTTGTCCCCGGCCATTGAGCACAGCGTTCGGGCCCCCTGGCGACGCCCGGCCACGGCCATCTCCAGGGAGGCAGGAATGCGGCGGGCGGGGCCCAGGCTGGGGGTGGGGGCGCCCGTTCTCACGCCCGGGGCCACTCAGGCTGACTCAATTGGAATTTAAATGCTGGCCATTGTTGTCCCCAGAATGGCCAGGAGTCAGCGCTACCCTGGGGCCTGGACCGGCCTGCGCTGGAGCAGCAGCCAGCCCAGCAGGCCAGCCCCCGGCTCTCCTGAAGGGCTGTTCCTTGCCCGCTCCTCCAGGCAGCCCTCCTGGACTCCTCTAGCCCTCTCTACCTGCCCTCCAGCTCTAGTTCTGTCTGTGCTGGGGGTGGGGGGAGTGGGGTCCCCTCCAGGGTTGGGCCCTGACGGAGGCATCTACTCTCCCTGGGGAGACTCGCCCATGGACTGCTTACTCCCTGACTGGCCGAGCCTGGCCTCTTCCTGGGCCCTGTTTCGGGAGCATCAGGCTCAGGGCAGTGGGTGGAGGTGTGCAGGGTCATGCCCTCAGTTGGAGCAGCTTTCTGAGCACAAGCCCCCTTCCGGCCGGCATCCTGATGACAGTCACGGGTGCCCCAAGCTCTGGGTTTGCAGGGTGGGCCATCCAGGGTTAGGGCTGTGTGGGGGACAGCACAAGGGAGCCCCCAGATCATGAATCTCAGACCCGCCGGCAGCATCACTCCTCCAGGCTAAGGTTGTCTCCTGGTTCAAACTGGGAAGGACCCTGGGAAGGTACACAGTCAAGGCTGGCATCTGGATTGTGGAGGCACATACCAGACCACAAGCTGGTCTGCCACTCCCATCACCCATGCCCGGGGCCGCGAACCCCGTGCCACCGCCGGACACCCCGGTCTGCAGCCTGAGCCGGCCCCCAGCCCTTGTGGAGCCCTCTGGGTGAGACGCACCAAGGCCCCCGACACAGTTGGGTGGCCCCGTGTCCCCTGGCTCTCCCGCCATCCGGCTGGTCCCCAGCCCAGCTCCCTCCCAGGGCGGAGGACGCTCCGGCTGGCCCCCCAGCCCCTTCCCACCACCTCTTCCTCTGCGGAGACTTCATTCATTTATTTATTTGCTGAACCTCTGACGTCCCTGAAAGAGGCCTTTGTCTGCTCAGACAATCAATGGCACAAATGGAAATGAAGTTGTGTTTGAGGAAAGTCTAGAGTGTGTTGTGGGGGGGAGTGGTCCAGGCCGGGGGGCCCCTGGGGGTGGAGCACGCGGCCAGCGCGGAGGCTGCCAGGGGGACCCCGGGCGTGCGCACCCCAGGCCTGGCCGCAAGTGCTCTGAGAGCTGCACAGGCCCACACGGAGGGGACACGGAGCAGGGAGGGCAGTAAAGACCGAAGTCCTAGCGCCCACGCCCGCGGCCGCCCTGCCTGCACCTTCTCAGCGGCCGAGCTGGGGTGCGGATTGGGGACACTGAGCACATGGCCCTCGGCCTGGGCCCTGACCGCCCAACGCAGGACCCTGGGAAACTGCGGGGACCCTGAGGCTGGGGGCTGGGCAGAGGGTGGTTTAACTGTAAGGACTTTTTCACTGGGGGGAGACAGGAAAGTTATGTGGGGCGGAGGGGCTTCCAGGCCAGGGAGGAGGTGAACGAGGGTCCCAGTGGGAGGGCAGGAGGCTTGGATAGGGTGGTGGCTCTGAGGCTGAGAAGCTTCTGGAACGTCTCGAAAGCAGAGCCCAGTGGATGTGCTGTGGGCATCAGGGAGCAGGTGAGGGGTTGGCTTGAGGCTGCCGGAGTCCTCCCTGCTGACCCCACGCCCCCTCTGCCCTGAACCGCCCAACGGAACCGAGTTCCTGGGTCAGGACCCACCGCACACCTGCTCACACTCAAGACTGACAGTGCGTGAGGGCCTTGGAGGCCACCAGGCAAAGCTGGGACCCCGAGAGCCTCTTTGCAGAGGGCTTCCTGAGGGCAGTGTCTGTGGCCGGATGGAGAAGCCTGGCTGACAGGCTGGGGCGGGAGGCCTGCATTCTCTCGCGCTGGGCCTGGGCCCTGGGCCCAGCGCGGGTGGGGAGGGGTGGGAGGGGCGCCTTGCCCTGCCCGCCCCGGGCGGCCGGCAATGCTGAGCCAGCACCGGCCACCTCCTCCCGGCACGGAGCCCGCAGTGCCTGGCCCAGACACAGACACGGCCCGTCCACGCTCGGGGGCGGCCGGAGTCAGGAGGCGTCAGGGTCAGCGGCCAGCCCAGCGGAGCGCAAGGGCAGCAGTGCCGGCCGGGGCTGTCGGCCCAGGGTCCACTCGTCCATGAGGCTGTGTCCGCCCGGCTGAGGCTGACTGGACTCCAGCCTTGACCTCAGCTTCTGTGACCGTGTCCTCCAGAGCTGGAACGGTCAAGGGAAGGGCCCCAGGGCCCCAGCTGGACCTACCCCCTGGGGCGGCCATCTCCCGGTGGGGGGTGCTGACCACCCTCAGGTGCCATGGGGAGGCCCGAGCCCCCAGTTGGGCCCCAGAGATCAGCTCCCTCTGGAGACACCCCCGATGCTGGGGTCGATCGGACCATAGAGGACCCGCGTGTCCAAGGTCACACCCTCAGGGGGCATTTGACCTCAATGTGTATGTCACGGCCGCAGCCAGGAAGCCCATCTCAGACCCCAGGGGCCGCCACGGGGGAAAGGTAGAGGCTGCCCGCTGGGTGGCCTGCAGAAGGTCCTGGGCAGCCCCGTCCGGCTGTGACCACCACCCTCCGGAGCCCACAGAGCTCCGCTCGCCCCCTTGCACTTGGCCCACAAGGCACCTTCGTCAACCAGGATCCAGTGGTTTTGATGTGCTCGGGCTGGTGTCCGAGGCCAAGGTCCCAGTGAGCCGGGCTTCTTGGGAACGCTGGAGCTCTGGGCCACAGGTGGAACCACACATTCCCTCTTCCAGGCTCTTTCTGGGACCCAGGTCTCCCCCGAGCCTGCAGAGTGACGGATCACAGCCCCCGGGACCTACAGCTCGGGACTCAGGGCCATGGGGCTGCCCCGGGTGGGTTGGGGGCGGGGCAGCTAAGCCCAGGGGAGACCTGGGGTCAAGCTGGAAGCCAGTGTCCCGAAAGCCCCTGGCGGGGGTCTGCCCGGAGCTGGAGGGGACGTTTGGGGGCGGAGAGCAGGACGAGAGAGCCCTAGGGCGGAGGGCAGGGCTGGGCCGTCCACTTGTCGGCTGTGGGGTGGGGGGCAGGGAGGACCCCCACACGCTGCCCAAATGCCCAGGAAGGCAGTGGGACCCGGCAGTCAGCAGCAAGGCTGAGGACGCAGGGCGAGCCGAGAGCATTCCCAAGGACAGGCCCAGCCCCGTGGGCTGCCTGGACCGGACAGCCCGCTCCGAGGACAGGGACCAGCTGAAGGCCAGGGAGCCTGGGGGTGCTCCAGGGAGACGAGCCTCTTGGCCCCCTCCCCATGCCCGCCTCACTCTGTTCTGGGGGCCCAACACCCATCCCCCTCACTCATGGGGCTCAGAACCCATGCCCCGTGCCTGGGACCCCGATGCGGGGCTGCCTCTCCTGGGAGCCCCTGTCACGGGCAGTGACGGCTGGGGGGCAGGCCCCGAGCCGTGTGCTCGGAAGGGGCTTCCCAGGCAAGCCCCAGCCGGGCGGGGGTCTCAGAGGCAGGGACGCGCGTGGCCAGCGCAGGGGCAGTGAGTGCAGGGCCCAGGTGGGGACCGCAGCTGGGCACGGGCCTGGCAGGCAGCGGGCAAGCTGGCCCGTCGTGGTCACCCCCTGGGACAGTCTGGCCCGAGTGCTGGCGGGAGGCGGCGTGAGAGTGGTAAGCCCACACCAGGCACCCCGCTGCCCCTGGCCCCCCTCCTGACCCAGATCTCACAGCATCTGAGCAGGCAGGGGGCGGGGATCCGAGGTCACCCCTCCGCTTGGTGCTGAGCGTGTGGCCCCTCACGCAAACAGGGGACAAGGCCTGCCAGGCCCTCCCCTCCCGTGGCCTCTCCCACCCTCCCCCCAACCCTGGAAGTGGTTGCAGGCCCCCCAGGGCTGGCCCCCGCCCGGATCTGGGACAGATCGCCCTGGGAGGGGCTGGGGACCAGGGTGCCGTCTCTGGGGACGGCCAGCCTGGCCACGGACAGGGGTGCCGGGCTCGGGTTTCCGCTTGGCCGCTTCCCAGGCGCCGACACCTGGCCTGGGTGCGACGGGCCCTTTCTGCCGTGGGTACAGATAGCGCCTGCCGCGCTCACCGGCTGTCCAAGGGACAAGGGCTGGCATTGGGCTCCTGCTGGGCCGGGGGGTGGACACAGTGGGCCAGGGCCCCCGGGGGGGGGGCAGGGAGATGGGAAGCCTGCTGCCTTGCATCAGCTCCGCTCCAGGGTGCGACTGGCTAGGGCCCACAAATGGCCCCGAAATCCAGTGCCCCAAGCGGGCTGCGGGGAGGGGGCTTCCTGGAGGGGCAGGGGGTAGGGGTCCAATGACGCCCCCTCCTCTCCAAAACATGAACTACCCCCACAGCTGACCGGCCCCAGACCCAGGCCCAACAGCGCAGCCGAAGAGAGGAGGCAGGGAGGCCCTGGCCAGTCCGACTCAGGCAGCCCTGCAAGCAGGGGGCCTTTAGTGGCTGCGTCACCTCCACGGCCTCTCAGAGTTTCCCGCTCTGTGAGATGGGCTGGCCACTCCGTGAGCCCCCGCCATCGCTGGGTCTTAGCAGCTGTGTGTGAGTGCCCGTGCCGTGACAGCTGGGAGCTGGGTCACCGCACGGCCCCCAGACTCCTCTATGCAGACTCTCAGCCCCCTCCACAGCCACACACTAGGATTCACCATGCCCGTCGATGCACTCTGGACCCTGCCTGCCGGTCCACACACTCACACATGTGCACCCCGTGTGCCCGCACGCCTGTGCGCACAGAAGGAGCAGGCTGGGGCCCACAGGGGACTGACGGGTCAGGCTCCGGGCCCCGGGGTTGCCCCAAGTGGTGCGGTCAGCAGGGTCACAGTGCCGGCCCGCCAGGAAGCCGAGGCCTCCCACCCAACCACACACCCCACCTGCCAGTGTTCTCGGGGCCCCTGTGGGCTGAGATGGGGCCGCTGCCCACCAAGACCCAGCGCACCCCTTCAGCTTCTGGGCCCTGCCGCCTCGGTCCGCAGCTGGCCGGGGCAGGAGTGAGAGTTCGGGCCGCCCCATGAGCCGGGCCTGGGGCCCCAGAGAGACCACGAGGCCCCGCGCTGACAGCCCCCGTCTGGTGGGCTGGGGGCGGGAGGAGAGCTCCCGCCCGCAGCCCTAGACTTCAGGGTCCCTGCAGAGACAGGCAGCCTCTCCAAGGCCACACAGCAGACCCGGGTGGGAGGCAAAGAGTGGTGACGCCCCAGCCCCTCCCCCCAGCCCTCCCTCTGGCCCACTGGGGGCATTCAGTCTGGCCCGGGGCCCTCCCGTCCCCCCAACCTCATGCTGAACCGGGCCCCCCGTCCCCACGGCCCTGCCTGGGCCGCAGCTCCCGAGGGACCCAAAGCCCCGGGGGCTGGGGGGGTAGAGGAGGCTTGCACAACCTGCAGAGACCCCAGGGGCCACCCTGCCTAAGCGAAGCGGGGCCCCGTGGGTGGGTCTAGAGAGTTTCTCGCAGAGTCTCTGGGTCCTGCCGCCGTGCCGCCGTGCCGCCCCCCTCCTCCTCCGCGAGCCCCCTGGGTTGAGAGCCTGGACTGTCAGGGCACGGGCCCCTTTGGCCCCGAGCTCCAGGCCCCAGGCCTCTCTTCGTGTGCAAAGCTGAGGTGGTGGTGCCCCGGCGTCCAAGCCCCATGAGCCTGCAGACCCTAGCCAGGTGCCAGAACCGGCAGCTCTGACATCTTCGTCCCAGGCCCAGGTGTGGGGGACGACCTGGACAGACCACCGGTCCCAGCACCACTCCCGGGGGGGCCCTCCCCGGCCCTCCGACCCCAGCCCCTGCCCTGCACTCAGGGCGTCCTGACTTCTGAGTGGGGGATGCGGGGACCCCCCTCCGCAGGTGAGCACATTCAGGGAGTCCGGGCCTCTCCCCGGGAATGGTCCCAAGTCGCCCCACCCAAGCCAGCCCCGCCCCCACCCCGCCCCCGCGCCCCCCTGGCGCGCAGCCCAGCGGCCACGGAGCTCATTAGCACAGCGGCAGCCCTGCCGAGCTCGCTTTAATTGGGGCCGGCAGGACGTGAGAACCCGGGGACCCCGTGCCCGGGCTGGGGGGGAGGGGGCGCCCGCCCGAGCCGCCCGCAGCCGCGGCCCCGGATTAGCGCGGCTCAATGGCCCCAGCCAGCGGTAATTAAAGCTGCCCGCCCGCCCGCGCCCGCGCGGCAGAGCGCAGTGTGCGCCCCGCTCCCGGGGCGGGGCCTGCCCCAGCGTCAGCCCAGGGGGTCTCGGCCGACAGGCCGTCACGGGGTGGCGGGGTCTGGCTTCTGAGCGCGGTGTGAACCGGCCGGCCGCTCCAGCGCCCTCCGGGAACCCCTGCAGGCTTGCCGCTGCCTCGGGCCTCCCAGCAGCTGCCCCAGAGCCCAGCGAGGTGGCTGGACACCGCAGCCTGAGACTCAGCCCCGGCTGAGCCCGCGCCGGTCCCTGTGTGTGCTGGGTGGGTCCCAGGGGGCTGGGGGCTGCAGGACACCATGACCTTGGTTTCTCTTGACTTCCCCTGGGGTTCCCTGCTGCCCAAGGTCCACACCTCGGGGTCCTGGGGCCTAGAGGAGGTTCAGGCTGGGATGGAGGGCCCACCCTGGTCCAAAGAGGGGTGTAGGTGACAGTGCCGGGGTGTACCCCAGAAGAGCGGTTCCAGAGGGTTCCTGGGGGACCCTGCTCTGGGCTGGCCCCGGGGGGCAGGTGGTGAGGCTGAGTGAGAGTCTGGGGGAGGTAGGCACACAGCGGGCAAAGGAGGGGGTGCAGCTGATGCGCGAGGCCTGGGCGCCTGGCTGCTGACGTCTGCTGTCCGTGGGAAGAGGAGGGCCCGGGGGTCCTCGATGCAGACTGGCCCACGGTGGAGTGGCTCCCTCGGCCGGTCACCCCCACGCCAACCCTGTCATTACTCGATCGGGTTTCTCGCTGCAAACCCCAGGCTCCATGTGGTTTCTCCAGAGTCACAGGATCTGGCCAGGCCTGTCCTCGTCCTGGCCAGGGGGGGTGGGGGCCCCTGGAGGGGGTGTCTCTCCTGCCTTCTGCCTTGCCCAGAGGCGAAGGGGTCAGGGCTGGTCCACACCTCCCTTGGCCAGCAAAGGCAATGTTCGTGGACTCAGCGTCATCCCTCTGGGGGCCAGTAACCAGGGAGACTCCGTCTTAGGCCTCCCACAGCTCAGGGTGCCCCTTAAAGCCCCACGGGCCCCATGCCAGGACCGAAGCTGGTCCCAAGCCATCTGGGGCCCAGGCACGCGGTGGGGACCCGGGGAGACGCAGGAGCAGAGCTTTGGGCCCAAGGAGCTGGTGGCCGTGTGCCCCAAGAGTCAGCCCTCCCACAGTGGGTCAGGGAGCCACTCACAGTGGCCCCCTGCCTGTGCTCAGACCCCAGCAGCTGCAGCACCCACCTACCCATCCGGCAGGCCTGCCGAGCCTCGGGCTCCCCCACCCTGGCCCCCATGGGTGCTGGGCAGTCACGGGAACGGGGGCTGTCAATGTTTTACCAGCAGACTTGAGTGGCTGTCCTGACTCGGGGTGGTAGCGAGAGTGGGGCCCACGGCCGCCTGGGTCTGGTTTGGCCACATTTTTCTCTTGGGAGACAGGCCTGTTGCTTCCTCTGCGAACATGTTTACCCTTCCCAGGGCGGGGGTGCTGGCCTCAGCACATGAGCCTGTGTGTGCGTGCGTGTGCATGCATGTGCGTGCGTGTGCAGGTGTAGCACATGGGGCGCTGGGCTCGGGTTCCAGGGGGCAGGTGGGGCTTTGAGCCAGCCCCCAGCCCCTGATTAGTAGCTGAGAGAGGCGGCCCAGTTCAGGCCGCACTGGGAGTGTCAGGACCGTGCCCCCGTCCCAGGAGGCCTGCCCCCTCGTCGACAGCTGCCCCAGCCAGGCAGGGAGCTGGGGGAGGGTGAGGAGGAGACCCTGGGTGAGGGAGGCTGGGGCCAGGGCCCCCCACGGTGTGACCCCGCCCCGCACCTCAGTGTCCCTCTCTGCGAAGTAGGGTAACAGCATGCCTCCCCGTGATGTATGCTGAGTCAGGTGTCTCGGGGGCCTGGCGCTCAGCCCCTGTGTCCTCCCCGTTCCTCTGCACCCCGCCACCTGCTGTCTTCTTTGGCCCCCCCCCAAGAGTCACCCACCCAGGGCCCAGGAGCTGTTTCCAGGGAGAAGGCGCAGTCCCCCTGAGAGGGGTGCTCATCTCCCTCCAGTGTGATCTGGAGGCCGGGAGCGCAGCCAGGGGAACCCCGTGTGGCCAGCAGGGAGAAGGCCACGCGGGGCCTGGGAGGAGCGCAAGGCGGGAGGGAGGTGTGGGCCCTCCAGCAGGAGTTCCAGGAGCTGCGCCGGGGTTGCGGGACCCTTGGCCAGGCCGCCCGGCCCTTCGGCCACTCAGAAGCTTTGCTTTGGCCGGAAGGGGTCCGGGGCTCTCCGCGTCGATCCTCAGAAGCCAAGCAGGAGGGTGGGCTCTGCGGGGTGGGCACCCAGGGCCACCTTCTGCCCGGGGCCCCTCGGCTCCCAAGCAGGCCTGAAGGCCTGATGAGGCCGGACCCCAGGCGGGAGGTGTGGGGAAAGGCAGACGGCGGGGTCCGGCGGGGGAGGGGTCCTCCACGCCCCTCTGGTTCCCAGGCCCCAGGCCGGGCGCGGGGGCCTCCCGTCGCAGACGGGCCGGGCCCCTCCGGAGCGTGACCCCGGCTTTCAGCGCCGCCCCTGGCCCGGCCCCAGCGCCTCGTTAGGGATTTAATTAAGGAGCCGCCGGGGATTTGCATAATCTCCGAGCCGGGCTGGGAAGCCCCGGGTTTGGCGGGGGCGGGGGCGGGGAGGAGCCGGCCGAGCTCCTCTGCGGGCTGGGGTCTCCCAGTCCGACGGGCGCACAGAAGGGGCCTGGACCTGGCGAGGGGACAGGTCAAGGCAGGAGGACCCTGTTGTATTGGAGCCGCCCTGGAATTCCCCGTCTCAGCCAGAGGGTCCCTCCTCCTCCCCAGCTGATCAGAGAGCTGTGGACTCAGCTGGGCCTGGGCCCCCAGGCCAGGCCTGCGGAGGGAGGGCGCCCCAGGAGGGGCCGGGCACCCCCCGCCCTGCCCCCAGGCAAACAGCGAGTGCAAACATTCCAGCCCCTGCCGGGCCCTGGGGAGCAACAGGGCCCGCGCCTTCCCACAGGTCCTTGGCGCCCGCCCCCGCGGCTGGTGGCTGCCTGGTTCTGGGGTTCTGGCCGTCGGTGGGGGAGGGGTCAGAGGAGAGTGGTGGCAGACGCTGGGCATGCCCTCCTGGTCACAGTGCCTGTCTTGCAGAGAGGGCAGGGACCGGCCCAACACCCCCTTTATGGCTGGAGCGTGTGCTCACCACTGAGGTGGTAGGGGTAGGAGCGGCCCCAGACAGGTCCTTGGACCCTGGCCCTGAGCGCAGAGGTTAGAGAGAAGCCTGCCTGCCCAGCCGGCCTGCGCTTAGGCCCTCGGGGTCAGCAAGGCCAGCCCTGCAGGGCTGTGTTCCCAGAGCCTCTGTCTCTCCAGGCAGTCCCGATCCGGGAGACTGAGGCTCTGGCAAGGGGTCAAGGAAGGTGATACGGCCTGACCCCGCTGCCCGCTGTCATGGCAGGCGGGACAGGAGCGCCATAGTGTGGCCGCGGGAGGGTGGCCAGGCCTCAACCACGGCACCAGCAGCTCCCCTCCCAGCGCCTGGCACCTGACTGCCCTGTGGGCATTCCCACAGCCTTCAAAGGGCACTGTGGGGCCTGCACGGGCAGGGCCTTTCATCTCGTGGGTGGCCAGCTGGGGGCTGGCTGATGCCGGGGGTTAGAGCCACCTCCCAGGCCCTTTCCCTGGCACCCTCCTGGCACTTGGCCCGGCCTGGGGTCTGCCCTCAGCTGATGCCCAAAGCTCCGCTCCTCTGCACACCGGGGTGCCGAATCCAATCTCGGAGACAAGAGTTCTGGGTAAAGTAGAACAGGACAGCTTTATGCCTTTGCCAGGTGAAGGGGGCCACAGCAGACCAACGCCCCGAAAACCATGTGTCCCAGCAGGGGGGAGGTGCTGAGCAGTTTTACAGGGGTTGTGCAGAGGGGACGTGGTCAGCGGGTGGACACTCTTCTGGTGGTCAGTGGCGGGGCGCGTAGGCGTCAGCATTGTCGACCCTGACGTCTAGTTCCTGGGGTCTGCATGCCTGTGGGCAGCTCACCGCGGTTAAGTGTGAACTCCACCTGGAGGGGGTTCCGTGTCTGCGAAACAGCTCGCAGATGCCGTTGCGTGGACCTGCTGTCACCTCACGTCTGCTCTTGCCTGTTCGCTTCTCCCTGGTCTCACGGCAGCTCCCTCGCTAATGAACTGCTCGGACCTGCCCACTGGACCTCAGGAAAGGGACCTAGAGGCTGAGTGAAGGCTGGCTCCTGTTATCGGAGGCCCGGGAGCCCCGCAGGCCCTGGCTCCCAGGGTCTCTGCGTCAAGAGCCCGAAGTGCCTGTGAGGCTGGAGCGCCTGGAGCCCTGTGCCTCGATCCCCGCTGCTCTTGAGCCCTCGGGCCGGTTCCTGCTCCTCACCCACGGCCCCACGGCCCTCCCCGAGCCCTCACTGGCGCGCCCTTCTGCCCTCACCGGGGGTCTTTTTCGCACGCTGTGGTCTGTCCTCACTGGGTGGCTGGCCCCACCCTGGCCTATCTCATTCTTGGGACCCCACTCTAAGTTGCAGGGCAGGTGTGATGAGTGGTCGATGCCCCAGGGGGGTGCCATCTGCAAAGGGCTGTGTTGACCCCTGGGGAGCCCGTTTCTGCAGCTGGGAACCACCCCCCACCCCCACCCTGCTTCCAGATCCCCAGAGAGGACCGGTGACCCCTGGGTGAGCCGGGCACACAGGTGCTCGCTCGGACACTGGGCTTCCCCGTGCTGGCCTAGGCCTGGACCCCAGGGGCTGCACTGTGAGGACCCCGCCCAGGCCCACTGTGGGGCGTGCCTTCGAGTGACCTCCCCTCTGTCGCCTCCCAGAAGGACAGCAAGGGGCAGGACTCGGGGGGGGGGCTGTGGTCAGTCTGAGCCTTGGTGCCCCATTTCAGCCTGGTCAGTTCCAGGGGGCATCCTCTGGGCTGGGTGTGAGACTGGGAGCAGGGGGCAGTGTGAACCAAGCCTGGCAGGTGGGCTTGGGGACCCTGGTTGTCCCTGGAGCTTTGCCAGGGCCCCCGGACACTAGGAGCTGCCTGGGTACAAGTTGGGGCCCTGGCAGGGCACCTCCTTCCAGCGTTTGGTGCCCCTGAGAACCTACACTCACCTGAGGGGGGCTGGGGTCAGGAGGGTGCCGGCTGCCAGGACTAGAGGGGCCGGGGGCTGGACGGGACCTGGTAGGGGACAGCCCTGGGCCAGTCTGACAGGCACACTGGAGCAAGGTGGGTGCCAGTTCACAAGGAAGCCTGCCGGGCCCTGTGTCCAGCCAAGGTGCCTGGAAGGCCCAGAGTAGCCTTCGCCCTGCCCCAGAGACAAGCCAGGTGCTGTCCTGCAGGGGACACGGACAGATGGGCAGGCAGCTGTCACCCGGCAGCGTGCGGGCAACGCGGGGCTCCAGCTGCGATGCCCGCTGTGGCTTTATGGGGCTCGGAGTGATGAGGGGGGCGCTCTGGAGGAACTGGGCAGCCCAGGACCCCTCTTGGGGAGCCCCTGCAGGGTCAAGCACCTGGGGCGGCAGGGCCAGAGACCACGAAGGGCCACCCTGGAGGGGTGACTCGTGGGAGCAGCCCGCCCACTGCCCCGGGGTTGCCTCTCGCCCAGCAAGCCTGGCCCTGCAGGGAATGGAGATGAGCCCACTCACTTCCACTTAAACTGTCTAAATATTATCCCAAGCTGCTCCACGGCCCCCTCCCCGGAGCTGGAGCCGCCAGCAGTGGGTGGAGGCCTGGCTGGGCTGGGGGACCCCTGAGGGCAGCCTGAGGTTGTGTCCCTGGGCGCCGCTGCTCTGAGGGTCAGAGGGGTCTGCCTGTCTGACCCGGGGCTGAGCCAGGGCAGGGGTCTCCCTGCTCGGTTCTGGGTGCAGACCCCGTGGGCTCTGGGAGCAGTGGGGGCCTGGCCGCGTCTCAGGCTCTGGGGGGCTCAGGCGAGGCTGCCGCGTGCCCCCTGGGCTGGGGCTTGCCCCTCTTGAAGGGGCCTTTCTCCCGGCCCGGGTGCGGCGGAGCCCCCCGCCTGCCCAGTGCCCAGGCTGGCTGCCGGCGCCTCGCGGCCAGCCGGCCACAACCCTGATGTTGCTTTAATAAAACAGAGTTTTTCTTTCGTGCGCGGCCTCCAGTGGTGAAAGGGCCGATTTACGGAGCGCCGCGCCCCCCTGCCCCTCCCGCCGCGGTGGCGCGGGCCGGCCGGGTAATTTATAGCTTCTTCGACGCGCACTCGCCGCGGCCGCATGACTGGGGCCATTTATCCCGGCCCCCCCGCTGGCGGCCGCGAGCACGCCCTCCCGCCCGGCCCGGCGCCTTCCCTGTGAGGACGGTGGAAACCCCGCGGAACCCCAGGTGGAAACAGGCCGCCCGTTGGTGCCCAGCGGCCCGCGGCCACCGCCCGGATGGCCAGCCCTGACAGCTTCTCCGTCCAGTCAGCCGGACGTCAGGTTCCCCCGGGAGGACCGCCAGCCTGGAGGAGGGGGCCTTGATCACATCCCGGTAACGACGTCCTGCTTGGAGGCTTCCAGGTCCAGGACAGGCCTGTGGCCAGGACGTGGCTTCACCCATTGAAACGGCCGGTGTGTGCGGGGCGCCCTGCTCACTCCGGACCCCCCAGCCCAGGGAAGACAGGGTGAGGGTGCCCATTCGGGGCCAGGCCTTCTCCGAGAGGCACTGGGGTCCCTGAAGAGAGGCTGAAAGTCAGGACCCCAAGCAGGGGCTTGCTGTCGTGGGCAGGACTTGGGGGGTTCCCATGGAGGCTCCGGGCTGTGACCAGTTCTCTTAGAGGGGCCTGCTGCCCACGGATGTGGACATGACTGCCACACTCGAGTCTGGGGGCGTTTGTAGGCCCAGGCCCTGCTCTGGGTCGGCACACACAGGCCTGCAGGCACGCACGAGGCATGAGCGCAGAGGAACACGGACGGGATGTGGGGATGTGGGGACGCACAAGAATGCGGACACGGACGGCATGCTGCTTGCGCGTCCGCGCCGTGATGGACATCCTGGTCCGTGCCCTGAGACAGCGAGGGTCACGCCGGCTCCTGGTCTCACCCCCCGCCCAGCCCCCACCCAGCCCCTGCCCCTGCTCTCAGGCCCACCCCTGGAGTCCTCCTTGAGTCTGGTCACCCTGTGAACACCGGGGCGCCCCCAGATGGACCTCGGCCTTCTCTCCCACACTCCAGGGCCATCGCAGGGGCTCCTCGCTTGTGTCCACCTGGCCCCTGTGGTCCATTCAGTGGCCGAGCCCCTGGGAGACGTGGGCAGCTTCTCTGCCAAACTTCAGGCCCTCCTGGGCAGGACCGCAGGCAGGGTGGTCAGGGTGCCCCCAGACCCCCACTCCATCACTCACTGAAGAGTGTGGCAGACGCCCGCCCACACCCGGCCTCCTCCCCAGGGTGCGCCCATCTTGGAGAGACGGAGGCGAGGTGGCCAAGAGGCCCCTGAATGGTGCGGAGGGAGGCGGCCACTGGCCTTCCGACTGGCTCACGCTGCGGCTTGTGCCCGCAGAGGGCTCTGGTTTCCCTCGGCCTGGGTGTGCTGCGGGCGCTTTGCGTAGGAGGGGGTGGTCCCCCCTCTGCAGGTGATACTTGGCGGGCGGGGTCACAGGCCAGGCAGCAGGGAAGATTGTCCACAGCACGGGTCAGGCAGGGTTGGGCTGCTGCAGGCGGGTGTCTGGGGCTGTCTGGGGCCTCCGTCTCACCCAGCGCCGCGGGCAGGGGCCTGGGCGTGGGCTGCCCAGGCTGGGGGCATCCGAGACCTGGGTCTCATTGGAGGAGGGATTTGCCCTTCATTCCCAGCCTGTTGGCTTGTTGGGGTCAGTGGTGGGACCTGGCAGCGTGGGCAGCCCCAGGCGAGGGCCCGACGGGGTTAAGCGGCTGCCTGCGCCCCCACCGTTACAGTCGGTCATTAAAACCTCATCTCCCGCCTGTGTCCCGGCCCTCCTGGGGCCTCCTGGGCCTTTGTCTCACTTTCTAAGAGTCTGACAGGATCGGCCGGGTGGGGGCCCAGGAAGCGAGGGGCATGGCGCACAAAGCCCCCCAGCCCTGGCGCCTCTTCTGCCAGGGTGCCAGCCCGGAGCCGCTCCCAGGACGCCCTCCCCGGGGGCTGGCACGGGCCAGGCCGGGCGGGCGGCCCCCCAAGCCCAGCCTGGGGTGGATCCGCCCCAGCCGCACCCCCCGGCCACCCCTGGGCTGTTCCCAGGCCCGTGGCGGCAAGCCCCCAGTCCCCCGCATTTGCCCACACTCGGCTGAAGGTTGCTAGGAGCCGGGCGGGAGTGGGGGCGTGCGGCAGGCGGAGGAACCGGGCGGGGGGCGGACGCCCAGGGACAAAGCCAGCCTGTGATTAAGTCATCTGCCCGTTGGCGCCCCGTGCGTCCCTCCGGCCAACAGAGGGCCACTCCTGCCACGCCCTGCGGTCACTACGAACCGCCCCCCGGCCCTATGCCCCCTGGCCAGGCTCAAAGCCCCCGCCGAGGCCCAGGGGTCTGCCCCTGTCCACCCTCCCCTGCCATGGAGCTTCCAGTGCCCAGGTGTCCCCGGCACTCTCCTGAGGGCGACCGCAGCCAGGACCCCCGGCCTGGGACCCCCAGGGGTTCCGCAGGCAGAAGGCCCCGGGCTGGACCGCCCCGTCCATGCACCGCCAGCCCTCTTCCGGCCCCGCAGCCTGAGCTCTGTTCTGAGCTGGGGGTGCTGCTGCAGGGCCCGAGGAGTGGGCCGGTGTGGGTGGAGGGCCCCCTCACCTAGAGAAGGCTGTGGGGGTCGGTCCACAAGCCCCCCGCTGACCTTTCTTCTGCTCCCAGTGTCTCCCCGTCCCCAACCCCGCGGCCTCGCCCTCCTCGGGGCCTCCTGGGGGGGCTGGTCTCTGTCCCACCTCCAGTGAGGGGGCTCTGCCTTCAGGGCCCTGTGCTCTTTCTGCAAAGCCCCCCACCACTTCAAAGGGGGAGTCCAGCCTGGGGGGGACCCTGGGAGGGCACCAGGGCAGAGGGGGCACAGGAAACCACGAATCTGCGTCTTCACTTCCTCTCACCACTGGGAACCTACGGGGCGCTGACCCTCACCACCGGGCACCTACGGGGCACTGACCCTCACCAGCAGGCACCTACGGGGCGCTGGCCCTCACCAGCGGGCACCCGCGGGGCACTGAGCCTCACCACCGGGCACCTGCGGGGCGCTGCTCCAGCCACACCAGGACCTGGGACCCCCCTTTGGTCTCCAGTTAGCAGGTGTCCCCAGGAAAGCTTTTGCTTTTCCAGAGCCAACTCGGAGTGGGGGCGCCGTGGGCACTGCAGTCACCCCACCCCTGAAGTGGGCACCGTTCCCTTTGGGCCTGCCCCGGATGGGTGGGATCTCCGCCTGGGCTGAGCCCGGTCAGATGGGGTTTCAGGATGGGGCGGAGACTTCCTGGGATTTGCTGCTAATCAGGGCCTTGGGCGGGGAAGTTCATGTGTGGCTCCAACAGGTTATCTTTGCCTGGAAAAGGGGCAGGGTGGGGCCCCGGGGGGGAGGGGGCACCGAGGGCCTCAGGTGGCCTGGGGGCGAAAAGGTCTGTGGGGCGGCTCCACAGGTCGGGGACCCCCGGAGGGCCTGCCAGCTGGGAGGGCTCCCGTGTGTGACCCCTTCTCCCCAGGAGGCCCCTCTGCCTGGGGGACGTGTGAGGGTGGGGGCAGCCAGCTCCATCTTGTGCGGGCCGGGCGTCAGGGAGGCTGAGAAGAGCCTGCCGCCCTGCCTGCCCCCATCCAGCATGTGTCCACTCTGCAGCCCCCAGGATGCCCCGCGGTCACGGACAGGCAGCCCCGTTAACAGGTGTGCCCCAGGGTGGGGGAGCCCCAGGTGTCCGACCCTCCCCCTGGCCTCTGAGTGCTCCCGAGGGGAGGACAGTAGGCAGCCGTCCTTAGCCAGCCCCCTCGAGATCCATCTGGGGGGGGGACAGCTTCAAATTGACTCTCCCTCGCGGCCTGGCTGGAGCGGGTGGCGGTGGCAAAGCTGGCAGAGGCCGGAGGCCTGCGGTGCAGGGGAGCGGGCTGTGGGTGGAGCTGTCAGCCCTCGAGCCCCTGGGGGTGGGGAGCGGGGTGGGGGAGGGGGATGCTCTCGAGACACTCAGCCCGCGCCTGCTGCTACCTCTATCCTGCCGAGGCCTGTCCCGGCCCGGCCTTCCCGGAACCCCAGGCTGCAGGGCTGGGGGGGGGGGTGTCTGTGCCCCCCCGTTCTGGCAGGAGCCTTCTGTGAGGTTCCCCCACCCCGTGGGCCTGAGGCAGGCCCAGGCCAGAGGGGTTCGTTTAGGCCTGCCCCAGGGCCCCGCGACACAGAGGGATGCGTCCCCTTCCCTGATGCTGCCTGGCCGTTCCAAGGTGAGCCTCCCTCAGCCTTGGGGTCCCAGGCTCTCCCCGTGTGTGTGGGCACGTCCCGGGACTGGCTCTCACCACGTTCCCCCCTGGTCTTGGCCCCCAAGTCTCACCTGACACCTGCCATCTGCCTGGGGAGGCCCCCAGCCCGCCTCCCCCCAGGGCGGAAGCACTGGTCCCCAGCGGTGCCTGGGACCCTGTGGGGCAAGGTCAGAGAATGAAAGTGAAAGTGAAAGTCGCTCTGTCGTGTCCAGCTCCTCAAAGCTCCTGGGACAGCATGGAGCGCAGTCAGCAGGTGTTTGTCAGGTGGGCCGAGGGCCCCAGGAAGCCCTCGATGGGCGCTGGGTCCTGCGGTGAGGTGGGGTATGGTGGGCAGAGGAGGGGTGTGCGGCTGGGGGACTCAGTGGGTCCACGAGGCTGTGGTGGGGGCACGGGGAGGCCGGTGCAAGCAGCTGCTGCAGGTGAGGAGACGGGAGCGGCTGGTGGGCACGCAGTGCAGTGGGTGGACGGGTGGACGGTGGGTGGAGGCTGAGTCCCTGGAGGACGAGCACGGAAACGGAAGCGTGTCTCCCAGAATCCTGGAGCCCCGCGTGGGGCGAGGGTGGTGTTCGGAGCTGCCACGGAGGCAGCGGGGGTCCCGGGGGAGAGAGCACCTGGCCCAAGCCACCCGCCTGCAGAGAGGGTGGCCGGGCACCGGCCTGGGCCTGGCGGCCTTGGGGGTGCGGCGCGGGGGTCCCGGGGAGGGAAGCGCCGGGAGGGGAGAGTCTCCAGGCTGGCTGGGGCTTCCGGCCCCAGGAGTCCAGGCCCTACCCGGGGGCCTGGAGCAGCGCTGGGACCGTCGGCGGGCACACGGGGCTGGGGAGCACCTGGCCTGCCTCAGTGGGCCCCGAGGACTCCCCTGCTGTTCCTGCTCCCAGCGGGCCCAAGGCTGAAGGATGACGTCACGTCTGCAGCGGGGGCCCCGGGGCCTGGCATGGGCCCCCCACCTCAACCCTGCCAGCCTCTGCAGCCCCAGGTCACCCCGGGGTCACTGAGTGGGCGGGCACCATCTCCTGGGCAGCCTCACGCGGCCTCCCTGAGTCCCTGGCCTCCTGCTGGGCAGGGGCAGCCTGGCCCGGGGCCGAGCCCGCCCACCCTATGGAGTTTCGGGTGGTTTGTGAGGAGACGGGCCAGGCTGGGGGGCAGACACTGAGGGTCAGGGCGGCGCCTCCCCCCGGGAGCAGGAGCAGGGAGGCCGAGGCAGGAGCCCAGGATGCCGGGGTCCCACGGGATGCCGCCAGCCCTCCGTGCCCTGGACACTCTGGAGGGGACCGTCTGCTCAGTGCCCACTTTGCCGGCAGGCGGGGCACTGAGGCTGGGCACTATCAGGGCCAGGGGAGACCCGCGGCGCTGGCTCCAGGCCCCGGGGTTTGATGGGTGGCTTGCCCCCCAGGGCCAGCCAGCCTGGCCGTCAGCAGCGCCCCAGAGGCACAGGGCCGCCCTCACACCCTCCTCCCACCATCTCCTCCTCAGAGGTAATGGGGTCCCCAGGTGGATGCAGAGGCAGACATAAGATTGCGGCCCCTCAAGGCCCCTTGCCATCTGGCCCATCCCACCTCGCTACGCGGGGGCCTGTGGCCACCTCGCTTTCTGAGCAGGGCTGAGCTCGGTGGGGGTGCACC